GATGAGGGCAATAACACTTATCAATACATAACTAGCTAAGGGCCGATTCCACCGTTGTTTCAAACGAAGTTTAAATTATTAAACGAAGATTAAAATGACATTGTTAATGTAAAAATGTCATTTTAAACTCCATTTAGTAATTTAAACTTCGTTTTTGTTAATATAAAAATGTCATTTTAATCTTCGTTTAGTATTTTAAACTTCGTTTAATAAAACGGTGAAATCGACCCTAAATAAAAGTTTATAAAATTATTGCAACAAAATAGCTGTTGAGACAATAAGTTATCGAAACAGCCAAAGTACTTTTTGCTCGAATTACACACAAGATTTTTTGTACGATCACACCAAAATAAAATAAATAATTAATTTATTAGAAATGGGTTACCTTTTCGTTCGTTATAATATTTTAAGTTTATTTGACAGGCCTACTCTTCGAAGAGAAAAAAATGTTTTGGTACTTATATGCCGGTAATTATTTATGATTTAATTATTTACCGAAAATACCGTTCATTGAATTAAAATATTAGGAAGTCAATTAATAGTTATTTATGTAAACAGTTACGAAATGCCTTATTTCGTGTAACGAGTAAATATTTGCGGAACGAGCGGAGCGAGGTCCCGAAAAATGAACGAGTTACACAAAATGGCATTTCGTAACGTATTTACATACAAGATTTTTCTAATTTTGACTTGACTATTTATAAAATTGTGTTGAAAAATGACTCACCATAATTCTTCTGTAGGTACTTCCAATCAAATAGTTTAGAAAATTGTTGTATTTGATTGCCCTACGACGTTTTTTTTTTTTCAATAGTAATAATAAAAATAAGGGACATGTGCAGTGTTGCCGATCTAATTTTTGACATTACCAGCGAGAAATTTGAAAAAAAACATTTTTACCCTTTATCCTTAGGAGTACGTCAAAATTCTACCCCCAACATTTCTGGGCCGTTTTCAATAACGGTGTTATTTTAAAAAATAAAACGCAATTTACAGCTTTTCTTTTTGTTGTTAAATGTAATGTCATATTTTCAAATGTGAAATGTCACTATTCATTGCCTTTTTTTCGATATTTGGTTTTTTTCGATATTTCGTTTTTTGGATATTTGGATTTTTCGATTTTTAGATTACTCGATTTTTCGATTTCTCGATTTTTCGATTTCACGATTTTTCGATTTTTCAACTTAAAAACCAAAAAAGAGGCAGTTTTATTTATTTTCATTTCGTAACTGGTGACATAATCAACTTTTCGTAATCAGTTGCGTAATGTTCTACTTTATGCAACTGGTTGCATAAAGTAGATCGTTTTGACACTTGCTGCGATTACAAAATATATTACTTTATATGTCAAAAATGCAGAATGTAAATTAAATGGATAGATCCCATATTATTATAGAGCAGTGTTTCTCAAACTTTTTTGGCGACGGTACCTTTTTGAAAAGCGAAATATTTAACGCAGCCCTAAACACTTAAAACACATAATTTAAAAAATGTATTTCAAATGTTTCTTTATTTTGACTCTCATTTTGACTTTCAATAGGTAAACATGATAAAAAAATCGGCTTTATATTATGCTCCGATTTCACATATTCAATTTGATAATTGTAATTTGACAATATTACTGCCCATCTACGTAGTCTGTTGGCTGAAAATTGGGGTATACATTTAGCTGGGTTAAAAATAGTTACCAGAGGTAAGTTATCTGTAACTAGGATAAAGAAATGTCCATATAAATATTCATTAAATTTATTTAAGCCAAAAATTATTGCAAGGACCTATTTTTCAATTTGGGAATATTTTTGTTCGGACTTTGATAAGGTACGCGAAGCAGAAGCTATAGATTTCTCAATATTTTTTTCAAAAACATGACATATCATGGCCCTTATTCCCACATTTGATACATCTACGAATAATTTAATCGGCAACTCAGGCTGAAAATGCACAAGATCATCATTTGTTGTTAATTTATTTTTGATTTATTCAAAAGATTCCTTGCAAGAATTATCCCAAATCCATTTCACCCATGAAAAATAAAATTAAAAAAAGTCCTAAAGCAAAATCATATCCTCCTTCCTCTTAGTGACTTAAAAAAATTACTTCTCAAAAAAAAGTCCTCAAGCCAGGTCCCTCCATTTTGTGGTGATAGAACTGTTTTTTTTTATTGTAATTATTTTCTTCGCGAAGCCCTCACACTTTGAGTAACACTGTTATGAGAATTACTAAATAAATAGTTTTGAGAAAACTATTGAAACCAGTTGTCAAGTTTGAAACGAATAAATTGGCAATGAAATTGATATTTTTGTATTTGATTGTATGTTTCTCTTTTCACTTCCTAAAAAAAGATTCCCCATGAAACAAGAAATAATAAACAGTTTATAATAATAACCTTTATTTGCTACTTATAACATGTACCAATGACCAAGTCCGATTCTGTTTATTTTCAAATCAACAAATATGGACGTCGACAGAATCCTTAAAAATTAAATATCTCACCGAAATAAATGTAAGTTTCATTTATCTCCGTCACATTTCGCAGGTTTATTATAAATAAAGCTTTTTACAACACATCTTGGCATTTTCAACGTTAATTTCCAAAATTTTAGTCACTAAAATACCAAATTAATTCTCGTTGACACATTAAATTTGGATGGACAACACTCTGACATGTGATGTTCTCAACTGCGATTGGTGGGTGTGAATAATTTCGAAATGGGATTATGCGCAGTATCTTATGTTCCATCTAAGGTTTGTATAATCTAAGGTGTCAATATAAACCAAACATTTTTAAATCAGATTATTAGAACGTCATTATAATGACGTAATAACCTTGACCACACTCACCACACTTGACTTGGTCACATTTCTAGTAACTGATTTAAACTCGCCTAAAACGGGAAACATTTTGCCTGAAAAAGGTCGCGTCACAAAACGGGACGGCACAAAATAGGAATATACCCATTAAATGACTGGCTCAATGACAAAAAGTCCAAGCCAAAAAAATGGTATCAAAGGTCCATTGCTTTCTATCTTCTTTGTAAAGTACTCCAACAATTTGAGGACAAATTGTCTATTATCTCCACTTATCACGCTTCCAGGCATATTGGTATTGAAACATAATGACCAAAGAATTTCACTGTTTGAAAGGAAACGTCAAATTGGCAAAATTGTCAAAAGAAAACATACATATCGGTAAATCGTTCGTTATAGTTAGATTAGACATAGGCCCGTATATTCCTTGTTTTAATAGCATACGTTCATGCATAGAAGTAGAATGCGTTTAGGATATAAAAACAATAACAATATTATTAAAATAGATTTCTCGAGGTTTGCGCTAAAACAATATTTTCTCTTTATTCACTTGTTACAAAAATAACTATTACGTTACTTTTATTTTTATCTTTATCCGATTTTTTTTTTTAAATTCCGTAAATAGGAATCGACTTTGAAATCGACTTTTTAATTGATTTGAAGGCGCCTTAGAAAGAGACAGGCACACTTTTAGTTGCGTTTGGGGAGTTTGTGAAAACAAATCTAGGTCAAAAATAAGAGTGAACAAATCCATTAAATGTCTACCATATGCCGAGACTAATAAGGCGAGTTTCTATTTAAATCGATTAAATAAAGCGACATGTGTGTGCAAAATCAACACAAATATAGGTATTAAATAATTATGTAGTTGTCACGTCAGGCGAACTGAAACCATTTATTGTGTTTCTAAATAAAGCGTTTCCTGGAATATCAGTTTACCCGTTTAATTACTTGTTACCTATTAATTACTTAAGTACAGATTTTAATTCTCTGATAATACGTAAATTGTTTATTTTTGTAAAACCAAATTAGCATAATAATTATCACGGTAAAACAATATGTTTAGATTATAGACATGTGCTTAAATTACACAAAACTAGTAAACATACTTGATCGATTTTAATGGAATCTTCCTAGCAAAAATGGACAATTCCGGAAGCAGAAGTGGATGATTAAAACGCACCTGATATTTTGCTTGCTGCTGTCAGTGTCAGTGAATATTATTTTTGGAGTCACAGTTTATTGCTAAAGAATCAGTTAGCTCACTCGGACCAGTTGAAAGTTCCAAAATAACATCCACTCCAGGGATACAAATTGAGGATACGCAGAAGACTGCTGTTTTATTATAGGCAGTTGTCATATATTGTATTATCCGAGTTGCGCAGTGTATAAACTGGAACATTGAGATCAAAAGTGCCGACGCAGAGTGAGCGATCTGATTCTTTAGCTATAAACTGTGGCATAGGAATCAAAATGGCCGCGCCCTATGTTGGGCGTGTCGGACCTCTCTCTAACCGTATAGTAATCAAAGTATGTGGGGTGAAAAGTGTGTGACGCATGTGTCGCGCTTTCGTGGAAGATATGTAGTGCATCTGAGTCACTACAATACTTTTATTCAAACATTCAATCATGCTCGGTGGTTCAGAAAATCAATTTCTTCTATTTTAACGGAACATGCTGATCTAAATCGTAAAACCAATTCATTGTAGAGGAGACACTTCTGCTAAACCGTTTTAAAAGACCTATCAGGTTAGAGTTTTAGATTTGATCCCTTCCTACTCCATCGCCATTTTACATTGTAATAGTTAAATTATTCGTACGTTTTATACTTACTTTTCTCTCTCTATTTAATATATGTCCCAATACTAGTGATGGTTTTGTACCCATATTCCAATTGGATGGATTTGGACAATATTACGAGTATATGAGTATTTAATGAGTAATATTTAAGTGTATATCTTTGTGTAAGTAATTTTTACTATTAATTGTTTCTCTGCTACATTTTTGTACTGTTTTTGCATTACAGTCTGAAGATGGCCTTATAGACCGAAACTAATGCCGACAACAAGTTTATGATATAAATATTATTTATGGTAATGGTTTAGAGTCTTTTCTTATTTCATAAAAACCGATCACATTTGAGATAATAATAATGATTTTATTTGTTGTTATGCAATTGAATCTAAACTTACCGAAAACTGTTCCAAATTGCTCATTTTTTCACAGTAATCGTTCTCAACAAGCAAATCCCGATTTCCATAGCGATTCCTGAAATTATAGCAAAAAAATTATAATCAATAAGTAGATGCTGCATGAAAAAATAAACATTTTATGATGACTCAATAATTTTTTTTGTTATTTTCTTTGTGTATTGGGCTATTATCTTTCACAAGGTTGCGCTTATTTTTATTATCAATTTCTATTTTTTGTATCAAACATGTTTTTTTCTTTGTTTTATAACATAAAACGTTGATACCGCAAATAATAGTTTGTCACGTACATACTTATTTAAATATTTAAAATCATAATCACAAATTTTGTTGTCACGCGTCGATTTCTAATCATATAAACTTATTTGATATGAAACAACTTATAAAGGTTACCTATGTATGCTATTTATTTGATTTAAATAAATTATTTCCTTTAAATCGCCCCAAAAGGACTATTTTGGAGAACTGCCTTAAAATACTAAATATTGTATACAGGGTGATCAATTCCAGAGATTTAAATATAAATTATAGATAGAGTCCAACTCCACATTTTAAATTTATTTCATAAAGTCACATCATACCAAAATTATGTTTTTTTAGTGGAACACCCTACATGTTATCTCGAATTTGACTTTGGCTTATTTTCCCCATTCCGGCAATATAGGGTTTTATCAGGTTTTACAAGGCACTTTTAAAGAAATTACCACTTTTATGTGAAAATTTTAATGAAATCGTCACCCTGTATTATTTAGAATCATCAATTGAGGGTTAATATCTAAGGCCAAAATAATTTCGTAGTAGTCTAGTTTTGTTGCAACTCATCATGTTTTTGATATCTTTCATTTTGTATACAAGGTAACCCAAAACTCACGACCATGATTTTCTCGGTTATTTCAAATGAAACATCTTATATCACTTTCATAAACTACTTACAAAATACTTTAACTTTTGTTAAGCATTCCCTATACCTAAATGTTGCAGCCGTAGTTTTTTCGATTTTTAATAATAAAACGATATTTTTGGTAAATACTCAAAGTTTCGTAGCGTTGACAATTGACAGCTTGAAAAACACGTTAATTATAAATAATCTAAAAATAAAAATACAGATTTTTTAACAAGACTATCATTAATACTAACAGCTATTAACTAAACAAAAATAGTACTTAGAACAAAATAATTACAATAACTGTTTAAATTGACCTTCCATTACATTAAAACAGAGTTGTATCCGATATTCAAATGACCTCCCCACATTTCTAGCCTTTGAAATACTAATATTTTGGAAAACAACCCTAATTCTATTTTCCATGTCCTCTCTTGTAGTAACAGGTATTTTATACACCTCATTTTTCACATACCCCCACAGAAAAAATTTAACTTTTGTTAGATCTGGCGATCCAGCTGGCCACTCAATTGGTCTTCCCCTACCTATTCATCGTTCTCAAGTTGACCATAAATTACTGCAATTATGATGTCTTGAAGCCCCATCATGTAGATACCACATTTGCTGACGTATTAGATTAGCTTGCCAACCTTGAAGAAAGATTTTTCCCTTCACTTACCTTAAAAATTTCTACTTTTATGAAAAAAATCGATCCCGTTTAGGGATACCACCTTTTCATTCCTCAAATCCCGGACCTTTGTTTTAAAAAAAGTCAGCTTTTAATTTTATAAACCAGGCCCTTCTGTCCAGCTTCAAACAAAAAAAGTCCAAGATCCTTAGTCTTTTTGAGTTAACTTTTCCCTGTTTGAGTTAACTTTTCTCTTTTTCCTTTTTTTATTAAAAATTTCCGCAAAACGGGAAATTTGCCTCCGGTTGACAACACTGGATTAGATTTGATTAGGACTTTAAACTTTCAGTATTTGCCAAAAATATCTTTTTATTATTAAAAATCGAAAAAACTCTACGGCTGTAACATTTAGGTATAGGGAATGCTTAACAAAAGTAAAAGTATTTTATAAGTAGTTTACGGAGTGTTTCATTTGAAATAACCGCGAAAATCGAAAATCATGGTCGTAAGTTTTGGGTTGCCCTGTATACAAAATGAAAGATATCAAAAACATGATGAGTTGCAACAAAACTATAGTCTATTTTTATGTATGAGAGAGTATTAAAATAATAAAGCGTTCGTAATCCATAGGCGTATCACTTCTTCTAATAGACAGTTAAAATATTTTTTGAAGTTATTCCTCGAGTATACACTTATATTTTCACCTAATTAACCTGCTTATAACTTCTAAACAGCTGAAGGTAAAAAAGTGCAATTTTTTCTAAAATGTTTAATTTTTCCACAAGGTATGTTAAGAACATTGTGTCAAACGGGTTATGTAGGTATAATGGTTTAAACTTTGACTTTTAAACAACGTTACGTTCATAAATAATAATTTTAATATAAAAACTACTTCTTACCTACAAATCCAAATCAGAATCGAAATCAGAAGATGAACTGTCGCAGCCAATATTTACAATGAGTGGCTCGATCATTTCATCAGTAATATTGTCCAACTTCCACATTTTCTCTTTTTCTTTAATCGTATGATTTACTGCCTTTTCCCAGTTTTCAGGCTTCACATTATTTACAGCCTCCAAAAACAACTGTTTAACACCACTCATTTTAAAAGAATTATTTTTTCTTGAAACTTCTCCCTTTATCTGTGCCCATATCAGTTCAATCGGGTTTACTTCGCAATGATATGGTGGTGATCTAACCACCGTCATCCCACGATTTTTTGCAATTTCATCAATCTCATATTTTTTTAATTTCTCTTTATGAAGGGAACACAAATGATACAGTTCTTTTCTCACAGAACCGGGATGGAACTTAATATTCTTTGAATTTAGCCAATTCTGTAAATCTTTTTTTAACCACTTGGTTGTGGGCATTTTTTCTATAAGTCTCGAGTGATAACTTGCATTATCCATTACTATTATACAGTTCTGAGGAAGAAGATCTATAATTTGTTCGAACCACTCTTTAAAGACATCAGCATTCATGACACCGGTACGAGTGAATAAGTCAATAAACCACCTTTAACAAAACCGTTTGAACTACCGATGTGTACTATTATTAGTCTGCGCCCCTTTCCTGATGGAGGATTTAAACCAGTAGATAAATTATTTAAAAAAAGCCTGTCTTCGACTTGTAACAGTTTCATCTTGCCAAAATTTATTTGGTTTATGTCCCTTGTTGATTTATGTTTCATCTAAATAAAATATATTTCTTCTTTGGTTTCTAATTTCTTCTCCATACTACAATATCGCTTCTTTCTATTAAAATAGACTTTCTGGAATACTTTTTCCATAGAAAACCTATTTCTTTTAAAAGTTTCCATAGTGTGCTTCGACTCATTTCAGGGTAATCCTTATCATCTCGAACCGTGGCAAGAACTTTGTCTACTGTCGGAAATTCTTTTCTAAAGAAGAACGCATGCACTTTCCTTCGAAGTCTTTCTTTCAAAAGATTTTCTAATTGAAATTTTGGTTTTCCTGGAGCTTTACGTGGTGTTTGAAACTCGCCACATTTCTCTTCCTTAACAACTCTGTAAATCGTAGATTTCCCAACACCAAGCGTACTACTAACTAATTCCACTGTGTCATCAACACTTTTACATAAATGTTTGTCTGTAAATAATTTAAAACAATTAAATATTAATGCTTTTTCATTAACTGTTAAAGGACCGATTTTTTGTCGTTTACGCGGCCCTTCCAAATTTTCCATGATCACACTAGAATTCACACTGCACCTTGCAAGTTGCAACTAAACGACATTTTGTAAACTGTCAAGAATACACAACTTGGACCTCCTTACTAAATGGAAAACTTATAATCGGTGAAATTTGTTGGGAAGGTATTTATCTACTTATAATTCGATTACTGTAAGAAATTCTTGGAATTAAAATAAAACAAAATTTGCAAATAGGTACTTATTGAAAATAATCTTAAGATACGGCTATGTAATCTTTAATACACAGGGCTTTTGGCCTGTCCAAACCTTTTTCTATTATTCTGTACAGCTTATGTTTATAAAGGACCAATAAAAGACCCAAAACTTGTAATAGCTCAGGTACATTTATTACAATTTTAGGAAATATTTAGATTATTCTGTAAAAATATTTAAAATGACCGTACTAAGTTTTGCATTAGAAATGCTGTTTTATTACTCTCTCATACATAAAAATAGACTAAGACTACTACGAAATTATTCTGGCCTTGAGATATTAACCCTCAATTTTTGATTTTAAATAATACACGATGACGATTTCATTACGATTTTCACATAAAAGTGGCCATTTTTTTAAAAATACCCTGTAGAACCTAATAAAACCCTATATTGTCGGAATGGGGAAAATGAGCAAAATTCAAATTCGAGATAACATATAGGGTGTTCCACTAAAAAAACATAACTTTGGTATGTTGTGACTTTATGAAACACCCTGTATATTACAAAATAATTTTAAAATGTGGAGCTGGATTCTATCTATATTTTGTATTGAAAAGTTTTGTTCGTATCCCTCAAAACAACGAAGATATCAAATTCCGGAATATAAGTTGATCACCCTGTATATAAATATTTGCCAGATAAACAATATATGAGTATATTCTCACTTGATTATTTATCTCAAAGTTAGCGAATATTTAATATTTTAGACAAAATTGGGGAAATTGGAAATACATCCACTCATTCTCAATTCGTCCAAAGGAATACCCTTCAATACTTCCCTTAGAAATTCCTACATCAATTCTGGTAAACTAGTAGTAATAGTTCATTACTATTAGCTGACTGGAAACAAAACATTTGATATACATGTTTTTTCCTATTGATGTTTTTATCTCGAATAAAATTCGTACTGATAAATAGGATGAAAATTTATTAACTAATCAGCAACAGGTTAAGGTCAATTCATTATTATTCAAAGATTTTAAATGGTTATAAAACGGATACAGACAAACAAAAAAATTTGTTTCTACAGGGTGTCTGTAAAAGGTCTTTACAAAAACATACCACATATTCCTTAGACCAAAATAAGTCGATTTAAGTAAAATTACCTTAGTACAAAGTTGCTTCGTTTGGGCTCCAGAGGGCCTTGAAGTTACAATTTTTAAATCGTTTTTCCCATATAAATTTAAAACGGCATATGCGATTTTGCTGAAATTTGGTATATTGGTAGAGTTTTATATGGCAAAAAAAATGGTATTAAAAGTTTGTCCGATAATAATACATAGGCGTAGAACTTGATTTTTTAAATAATTGTACCTTTAAAAATTCTACGCCAATGGAAGAAAAGGAGTTTGAGTATGAAATTTAGATTGCGCAACTCATTTACTTTAAAAAAGGTACTCTTGATAAGACTCGATTACTCTCATGGTTTTCGCTAAATTTCTGTTTTACAGACACCCTGTATATAGCACCGGTAGGAAAAAATTGAAATTAACCCTTGTAGAAAAAAAATGGAAGAATTTGTTACAACAGCATTGTGAATATAGTTCTTATTATTACGAATAAATAATTTGTGTCTGATTCCAAAAAAATATAGTCTACCTTCCAAGAAGTCAAAATCGAAGTTTTAATTTTAAACTTTCCTTCTTTTTAGGAATAAAGATCTGATGTGATATAAGATCGGCTCTTTCGGTAATAATAAAAAAGAAGCTCTAAAATCTAAAATTATTTAAAAACACAAAAACTCAGAGGCGTTATAAACTCATTCCTAATCTAACCTAACCTTTAATTAGGCATTCCAAACAAATGAATTGCCAGTGGGCAGGTTTGGTAGATCTGACGGTTGCGATATACGATGTATTCTATCTACAATACGTAAAATCATGAATAATGGATTACATTTAAATATTTTATATCGAACACTATAAAAATATTAATTAAAAAAAACTGCTTGTACATTTTTTTAAAAACTGGCAGGATTGACGACTGATATTTCGAATAAAAATAGCGTCCAAGATGCAAGACTATGTCGCTACCCCCCTTAGATATACGAGACCTTCCCACTGGCAGGTATTGTTTGACAGGTCGTTGGAATGCCTAATTGAGCAGTAACTTTTCAAAACGCATTATGTCATTGTTGCGGTTTCGGATTTATTTCACTTATACTTCTGTAAAGTCAGAATGCATGAATCAAATAGCGTAATATCCCTATATAATTTGAGTATAAAATATTTGTTTGTTGTTTCTGAAAAAAACATTTTATGGAGATAATGGCTGCGTTCGTCCGCGCCATTTCAAGGAGCGCTACAAAAGTAGCGATCACTTACGCTACCTGATCGATCTTTATGTACGGATGAACCTGTTTAAAAATGACATTTGATTGTGGTTTATTCATTTTACTTTTGAGTTGAATGTCTCTGGTTGAAGATTTGTTTGTTTATTTGTGGTTTGTTTATTTTTCAATTGCTAATATAACCCTACTAGTCACCAAGCAAACCGTGGACGTAAGTGCGTAAGACATATCAGTGATCACCGATTAGACATGGGTAACGCAGCGCTGCGTTGCGTTATTGCGTTAACGCAGTTGTATGCGTTATGAGCGTTGATACACCAGCTGTTACTGTATCAGCGCAACGCAATTTTCGATTGAGTCGAAAGGATCGCGAGTTGTTGGTGCGCCATGCGCCAGGCACTGATTGCGTTTTCCGTGACGAGTTGAAATTTTTAATTTACGTAATTGATGCAACTCGTAATGTAGATTACCCAAAATCTATCAAGTAATTATGTTCTTTGCAACATGTCACATCATTTTTTGTAGGATTGTAGGTCGAATTTTGTGGATTTTAACCTTGTACACTGTCAGTTTTTAGTTCTTCCCATTTTGATTGGCTACTAGTATACAAAAGTTATATCCTTTTTATATAAATTGAAATTTTTGTATTCTTTGTAAAATCCGAACACAATGAAATAAAAAATGGGAGCATTACACTGTTATATTTTCGTTTATTTTTAAACATATAATTTAGTTAAATTCCCAATTGCGTTATTGTCTTGAACACGGTTTGACCCTTATAAAAGGACAGCCCGCGCTGAATAACACCGGTATCATGCGATACACCGAGGTGCATCGACTTCATTCGGCGCAGGCAGTGGTGTGACGCAATAACGCAATTGCGTTAACGCAATGAGTTGGCGCAATAGAGTGCGCCGGAGTTAGTGTATCAACGCAAAGAATTTTAGTGCGTTACCCATGTCTATCACCGATCAGACGTAAATAAAATGCGCTACTTTTAATGGCGGCCGCTCCTTGAGCGAAATGTCAAAATACACCGTTCATACGTGCCACTCGAGAGCGCTACCAGATCGATCAGGTAGCATGTGGCGCGGATGAACGCAGCCAATGATTCAAGAAGGAATAAAATAAAGGGTATCAGGATACAGATTAAAATAATGTTATACTTACTCCAGATACCTTCTCCAGGACAGCATAATTATGTATCCTATTATGGAGATAATCAAGAACACCGCAGCCAATATGGCGGCCAACTTTCCTGGTACTATCCCAACTGGCTTTATCTCAGATTTAGTACCATTAACATTGCCATAAAATTGGTCAAACAAATATATTTTATCTATAATTGTATCGTATAATTTTGATCCTGTGGTATTCTCTGTGACTTTAGTATCATTAGATTTTTCTAAAGTATAAACCAAATTATTACCATCTTCTGTTGGCAAGAAGATTAAACCGCCTATATCTTCAGTTTCTTCTTTTTCATTTGTTGTGTTATGGTTTTGTTCAGTTGTACTTGTGGTTTTTGGAGTAGTATTAATTGATTCTTTTTTGATAGGGTCATTCTCTGTTTTGGTTATGAATTTCTCTGTTGTAATATTGGCTTTGGTTTTGTCTACAGGTGTAGTTGTAGTTGATTGTTTATTTTCTTCCGAAAATACTGAAAATAAGATAAAACAAAAATTAAATTACTTAATATTATACAATAAATTAAAACTAATAGTACAAGAAATGTTTACTATACAGGGTGTTTCAAAAAGGTATGTCATAAATTCATCCTCAGATAGATTACCAAAAAATAACTGGATTTGGCTATATTATATCAAAAACTGGCTCCCAACAAAGTTACAGGGTGTTAAACTTACATTCAGCAAAACGTTTTTTTTTTTTGTAAAAAGTTTACTGTTTGTTTTTTTTTTTTTCGAAATTTTTGCCAGTGCTGTAGATTTGAAGGCCCAATATTCTAAGGAGAAAAAAAATTTAAAGCGACCCCTTTAAAAAAGTTGGGGGGTCGGGTACCTTTCAACCCCCCCGTATTTTTTTTGACATACTGGCTTTATCGATCTTAAAATCAGAAAGAACTATGAATTTTTAAATTTTTTTTATAGCTAAATGAACTTTGTATCTTTCTTATTTAACGAGCTATTTACAATTTTTTAACTGAATTTCTAGAGCAATTCGTCCGTCCTGGACTTAACATATCAACAAAACTAAGAGTAGGTTAGGAGTTATTGTACAAAAAACGCATATAAAAATCAGTGTTGTGCCTAGGGCTGTGCTTGAGCCGCCCCTGCAAAAATTACCCCTTTTATTTATATTTTTGTAAAAAAGGTATTTATAATATTGGATTGGCGCCCTAAAAACCGGTCCTTATGGGTTCACCATGCCACTGATAAAAATACACGTTAGGTGGGAAATGTATTTATTAAATTTAATAGTAAATAAACAAATTATTTTTTTAATTAAACAGTCAACAATAAAAAATAAACATTTGGTAATAATTATTATGCATATTTTATAAACTATTTAATTTAGTAAATATTCAACATGTCCACCTCCTTCTTGAATACAAAAATATAAATAAAAGAGGTAATTTTTTTCACCAGTTTATTAATATGTATATTCCACTTTAGATTTAAGTCTATGGTTACTCCTAAATATTTGGCACTAGATGGCACATGTAAAGACCAGGATGTACTACGGAATGTTATACCTATTTTTAAAGGATATAAATTCCCTAAGACATTTTTAAAATTGTAGAATGGTAGATACACTGTCTTGTCTAAATTAATTGTTACAAGATTTTCATCAAAGCAGTGTGTTATTTTTTATAAATCTCGTTTTAGGCTAGTTTCCACTTTCAACCAATCGTTTCCTTGAACAAAGAGAGCAGTTTCATCAGCAAATGAAATTATGTTGCCATCAGTTTTTAAGGTAAGTAAATCGTTTAAATATAATATAAATAAAATGGGCCCTAATACTGTACCTTGAGGCACCCCATAGATAATTTCTTGTGGTGCACTTCTATTTCCATTAACTTCAACTATTTGTTGTCTGCTGGTTAAGTAGCTTTTAAGGAGTAAATGTCCTTTACCTCTAACTCTATATAGCCGATCTCTTTCTTTCATTGATTGAATTATGCCGTCAGATATCCACGGTTTTTTTTTGTTTAATTTTTACTTTCCTATCTGTATACAGATATAAGGAAAGTATAGGAATCATGATTTTTTTCGACATCGAGTTTTTGACGGATTTTTACGTTTTGAGGTCCCCTGAATCCGTTTTGACTATTTTCGCGATGATGTCTGTATGTGTGTGTGTGTGTGTGTGTGTGTGTGTGTGTGTGTGTGTCTGTGTGTCGCATAACTCATGAACCAATACACAGAAAAACACCAAATTTTAAACTTAAGCTTTGTTCTAGCGTCCAATAAGCTGATTAGATTTTGGGCAGAGTCGGAACATCTAGGGGGGTACTTTATAGAGGGTAATTTTTATATTTTATGGAATATATCTGTTATTTACGTTTGGGGAAGAAAATTCTTCAAATAAAAGTTACTTCTTATAATATTATCTAAAATTTTTGTTCTATACAAAATTTTCCTAAAATGGTCCGTATTTGAGAAATTTGACAAAATGTTAAAAAATATTTTTTTATAAAAATTGTGCAAACAAAAGTTGTTTGTAATATAAGTCTCTATAATTTTTATCCTTTACATAATTTCTCTAAAATTAACCGTATTCGAGATATTTGAGAAACTGTGTAAATTTCGAAATATGAAGAAAACTCAAAAACGGATAAAGAAAAAAACATTAAATTTTAAACTTAAGTTTTATTTCGGCCTGACGTGAAATGATTAGATTTTGGACAAAGTCCGAACATCTGGGGGGTATTTTATGGGAGGCCGTTTTTATATTTTATGGAATATATCTATTATTTATGTTTGGAGAAAAAAATAGTTCAAATAAAAGTTACTTCTAATATTATTATCTATAATTTTTGTTTTATGTCAAAATTTCCTGAAATGGTCCGTATTCGAGAAATTTGACAAAATGTGCAAAATTCTGATTTCTATGAAAATTGTTGAAATAAAAGTTGTTTGCGATATCGATCTCTATAATTTTTATTTATACATGATTTTTCTAAAATGGACCGTAATGGAAAAATTGTAGGAAAAGTGCTAAATTTAAATTTTTTAGTATTTTCGTTTTCAATGAATATCTATAGAAAAATATTTCGAGGTAGATGTATGTGGAAAATGTATATATTTAGTTTATCCTCTAAACATTTATGGAGGTGCTGCAATAGATTGTACAAAATAACCGGAAAAAGCCTTTAATAACTAGATAGGAAAGTCATATGTTGGACACATCAGATTTTTAACTTAATAGATGTCGTGGCTTTGCTTGTATGGAAATTAAGAACGTTCGGTAACTCATTGGTTGCTGTCTCGAGATTAATGGTATTTAATACATTAGCAAAAGATTCGCATTCGTAATTAATGTAATTTTTTGTAACGTACCTAGATTTATTTTGTTCTGTATTATTTTTTAAATTATGTTTAAATTGAAGAATTATCGGATTGTGATCCGTTATTTTTGAATGCAACACCATTGGTTTTAGTTTTTTGAATTCTAAGTGGGTAGTTTTTATAAATAAGTGATCTAAGCAAGTATTAATTTCACTGAAAATGTTTCTGAAACATGGTATACATGTTACACAAAAGGTTACTAAACGGGTTATGTTGTAAAAGGCCAACACTTAATGAACAATTTGTGATTTGTAAGAAGAAGATGGGATATATAGTTGTAGTTGTACACTACGTGAGTAGGGAGTAGAATCTTCGTTCATGAAGTTTTTCATCCCTATTTGAGTTAGGTAAAAATAAAATTGCTAATTGATCTTGATCTTAATGATCAGATTGTAATATAATCGTAAATGTTTCTTTACTTGAGGCATTTATTATAAAAAAATAGTTGTTTCAGATTAGTGCATTTAAAGAAATTGGTGAAAATTAAGCGATTCGCTTTTATATTTTATGAGATATTGTTTAAAAATTATTTATTTATTTGTTTGTTTAAGAATCAATGTTTGAGTTTTGTGTGTTTTAAATAAACATGTATATTTTTAAATGTCTTTTTTTAGTCTGATAATATTTTAGAAAAAAAAACTAGAATACATTTCTGAAATATTGCTATTAAATATTTTTAAAAGAGTTCAGATTTTCATTTCAGAACTATTATTTTGAAATAATATATTTACAGGACATTTTTACGTTTCAGGCACATTTCAGAAATATTTCTGGGATGTTTCGTAATATTTATACAATATTACAAATGTTTCAATGTAACATTTTTGAAATATTTCCGAAATGTGTTTGTGCTGTATGGGTAGCGGCGGTACGCTAAACGCTAATGTCACATAAATTTGGCATGTTCTCTAAAAAATGCAGAATACAAGTCCCATTCTTCACCCTACAGTTTCATAATTATATATTCATTCGTTTCAAAGAAAAAAACCTTGTTGCCACACTTTTTCGTTACCCTATATACTAATTTATATTAACAATATTAATCTGCACAAATGAATATCTAACTCAAAACACCTTATGTATACTCATAAGTCACTTCTTGAATGTTCGATAAAAATTTTTGGTAGATTCGCACATTCTCGAACAGTGCCTTCAACAAAAATTGCAATATTGAGATTATTCATCAGTCTAGTGCATTCCAGAATGGTCATTAATTTCGACTGGCCGTGGCCATAGTCGTCCCATGGTGTAGCTTTTGATTGACTTATTTCATGGTATATTCTTGGTAGGTAACGGAAAATGGAGACCGTAAGAGGCCCAAATAAGGCAGAGAGGGACTTACAGAATTAGAGCACCAACAGACTAATCGAAAAGGGCTCGCACGACAATACTTTTTAAAATTTGACTAATAGGTTCTACTACATGAAAAAAAAAATTTAATTTTGGAATCATCAGTTTCCTTACCAGAGGTCTTGAAACCACCTTTTGATTTACTCTAAAAATTATTTCAGCGGGCCTTGATGGTCTTTAGTGTGATGGCCCTTCCCTTAGAACTTACATCACGATAATGCACCAGCACATCGTACTGTAGCATTTACAAGAAGTAGTTTGCTTGGACACCCTCCCTATCGTCCTGATCTTGCTTATTGCCATTTTGATTTTCCCAATAATAAATGATAAACAAAAAGGACGACGATAGCAGTTTAGGATAGTTAACAGAAATACTTTACTTATTTGGGAACTAAATTATATATAATGAACTTTCCTCCGATAAGATAATCAATTCATACTACTTATTCAATAAGCGAATCAACTCATACTACTTATTTAATAAGAAAATAGATTTTAAGTTTACCATTCACAATATTAAAGCAATTCATTAATTCAAGCATATTGTCATAGTCTAAAAGATTACTGGCATTCTTTCGTTCATGAAATTATGTGAAACTCTTAGCGCTTATCCCCATAACTAAAATACTAAGTTATTTTTATATATATTTTACAATAGTATATTACATTATGAGTGTGGAAAATCACTTTTCACACAAGTGATGTACAATATTTTTCCTACGACCACAAAATAATTTCATAAAAAAATGTAAAACCAGGTTATTATTAAAATAATTAAAAT